TTCCAGCCTGGCATTTCTCATGATGTACTCTGCATATAGGTTAAATAAGCAGGGTGACAGTATACAGCCTTGTCGTACACCTTTCAGCATGAAGTATGCGTAGAGCTAAACTATGATTTATGGCTTAGACGGCAGATCGTAGGTATACAGGCCACTGATTGCACAAGCAGTGAACCGAGCCCGACTTGACGCAGCTCATACGACAAAAATAAGTCAACTGATGCAGATGTTTTAATTCACTTTCCTGATGTGAGAACTTTTCCTAGCATGGAGGTTATGCACAGAGAAAAGCTTTACTGTTGGATTTTTATATCATGCTGCTTTCAGAGGCACACGGTTGTAAGCATGGAGATTGATGGCTTTGTTTTCAGTTATATAGACATTTTGGAAAAGAACTGGTACGCGATAAATAAATATTGTTATATGGTGGATTTTTTTCCTTTCTCTTTTTCTTTATTGCTTGTTTTTGCCACCCAGACTCACATTGTTTTTGTTGAGCAGCCTTATAAATCTTAAAAACAAATAAATAAAATAAATTATATTGCAACCGATAAGGCTGACAGCATGTCCTGGAGAAGTAACACCTTTGGTTTATTACCATACCTTTGAAATATAAATAAAAAGTTGTTTTAATCTATCCCACTGTAATTACAGTGTTCAGGTTGCTGGTCCTCATGATTTGGCATAACACGTTTTAGACAGGAGGGAGAAGGAAACTCAACCACAATGCGTGTATCTACGTGATGGAATATAGATAGAAAATAAATTATCTTTGTCAGAGTTCAGGCAGCCTGTCAGTCTTCAAAATACCTTGCCTATTGGAAAATCAGCAGGTGATCCATTCAAGTGGTGACTCCTACTTGATATTTTCTCCTTTGACGCAGAAAATCCACACTCATGCATCCCTAAGTAAAAGCGTAAGCATAAACAGAATAATGGAACCTTTTTTTGGGCCATTTATTAGGACCTCAAACAGCTGGTTGGGTGTCAGATGGGGAAATTAGATTCAGACAGGTGGATTTCTTTCATTATGTGAACAGGGTAAAGTGTATGAGTAAGCCTAGGCTGTGGGTGTGGGTGGAAAGTGCTGAAATACTACTATCAGTTGTTATTGCTGCTGCTGCTGCTGTTGTGATCGTATTGTGCTTCCTGGCTTTTCCTTCCCCTGAACCTAAAAGCAGTCTTTTAAAGCAGAATGAATGGAGGCCAGAAACAAAAATGTTTTTGTGCTGTGGACTGAAAATCCCCTCTCTCCCCTCTGCAAGACATGGGGACAGCAGGTAGAGTTCTCGTTCTATGGTTCCCTCCTCTGCCTAGTCTTTGAACCTCTGACAAAATGTCTAAAAAGGCTTCTTCCAGAAGAAAAGTTCAGAAACTTGAAGGCCAAATAGGGTTTGCAGTGGAAAAGGCCCAGTTATCGTTCCCCTCCACAGCTCTTCAGAAGTTTGGAAACAAAAATTGGAATGATGGTGGAGCTTAGAAAACGGCCGGTCTATTGATCTTCAGGGTGGTTTCATTTATGATTATTGTTTATTGCCATCAATGTGACTGTTTTGACTATGTTTGTACTTGGTTTGAGCCTTGCCGATAGCTGGCTGTAATTATTCTAGTAGAATTTGTTGCCTGAACAATGCTTGTTGTGATAGGAAAAGATAGACAGACAGACAGACATCTCCATCCCCTCTCACCCCTCTGGGTGGTCCATGTCTTCCTCAGTCTCAGGTCCTCTACCAGAGGCCTGGGAGTTTGAGGGTTCTGCGCAGGATCTGAGCT